CCCAGAACTTTTCATTATTCCGGACCCCTTAAACAATAGCTGATTCTGAATAATTTCCTCGAAACTTTTCATTATTCCGGACTCCTCCATTAAATTGGGTGCGACATTTCTTAAAGTGTCAGTTAGCCAAACTGCAGGTGCTGGCAGTGTGCACAGTCACGTCCACGAGCAGTGCTGCGATGGACGTGGCAGCGAAAGGTTGGGCTGCTCCTTTGAAAAAGGGTCCGCCGGTGGCTGAGCACCTTTCATACTTTCAGTTCGAGTGCAGCGAGTGGAGTGCAGCACGCTTTCGAGAACCCTAAGGGCATGGGCACTGCAATCGGAGCTTTTCTGGATTTCTGTGATCTTCAACCTGATCTTCCTGGTGCCACGCTGGTCTGTGCAGTGTTTGGTTGGTGCATTCTGCATTAGATTCCAAGGTGGGCATGCGCACGGGAACAATCATCGGGTGCCACCGCTGCGATGTGCTCCTCTTTATCCCCTGCTCCACGGTCATGAACATCTTCGTGAGCGCCCGGAACCTCAGGAAAGGCGAAGGCTTGAGAGGCGCTCCCACTTCTTCCCACCTCTTCCCTTCTTTCTCCCAAGGTGGCCACAGGCCTGGTGGTGCCAGAACCCCAGCACTCTTAGAGAGGGACTCGAGAGGGAGGCTTTCAGTGCTTTCAGAGAGGCTGGAGGAGTGGAAGGAGGTCAAATCCTGGTGTGCGCCTTAACATGATACCGTGAAGTGGAAACGGATGGCTTGCAGAGATCCCTCGGAGGGTTGGCTTGGCTTCCAGCTCGCTGACCGTGTTGGGTGGCATCATCATGCCCGGTTCTCCTTTGTAGCCAAAGAAGTCGCACAAAAACCAAGAGAGAGAGAGAGAGAGAGAGAGAGAGGGGGTGTCGGCACTCTTGACTGAGGCTCGTGACTGGGCCGGCCGAGGGCAACAACCAGAGGCGGCGCTAACACAACGGCCAGTCGCGCAGCGGCGCAGCGCAAGGTCTCCAAATGACCTTCAGGTCGGGGGCTCTGTCGGAAGACTCGTCAGACGAAGAGCTTGGAGAAGAGGCGGAAGAGAGGGTGCACCTGGCTGCTGCACTGGGACATTGCAGTGTGACACAGCGTGCAGTGGCGTGCAGTGTCCAGGAGACCTTCGAGGTTGGGCGCTTTGGGCGCTTCAGCGCGACACGCGATGTCGCGATGATGTTGTGTCGAGCTTCTTGTGAGTCTCTGTTTTCAAGGCGAGCGACGCATGCGTCTGTGACGCTGTCGAGGAGGGTTGGGACTCTTTTCCAAGCTGAAAAAAGCCTCTCTCTTTTTTCTCGGCTTTCAGATTGACGTCTCGGACCCGGATGAATCGGAGACGTCCCGGCCGTCCCGGCCTGCGACAGTGAGTTTCTCGAGCCTGCTCTACACTCACAAGATGCATGCGCTGGCCAGCATGAACAAGAACCACTCCAGGCTGAGAAAGAGGGTAGGTGGTGTAGGAAGAGAGTAGTTGGCTAGTGTGTTATGATGACTTCAGTTTGGGATTTGTTTTTCTCTCCTTTCTTTTCCTTCTTTACTAAAGTTACTTCGCAATCCTTCGCTGGGTTTGGCGTAACTCGCTCCCCCCTCAGGGCCGCCTTCTATCGGGACTGCGTGCAGAAAGCCCAGGCACTCAGTGAGGACTCTGACTCTCTCTCTCTCTCTCTCTCTACATATACATGTATCTCATACATATATATATATATACACGTATTTCTATATGTGTGTTTCTATGTTTTGATATGTCGCTGTATAGCACACGGCTGCACTTCTCGTGGGCAACACACGTGGCACTCTCCGCACTTCTCTGCAATTCTCGCTGGCTTGCGTAGTGCACCGCCTTGCCACTGAGGGCCTGAAGGCTCTGAGACCTACACGAGCCCGCTTCGCTTCTGCTCCGGACCTGCGAAACCTCCAGGAGCTCAAGTGTCCTTCGCATGCCTTCACACCAGCTGAAGCTTCTCGCGGTCGCAGATGCATTCTCACATGTTCTGGCAGGCAAACGAGGGCTCTCCAGGCAGATGCTCGCCTTAGACGCGATGACCTGCAGAATCGGAGCGCAGCGCAGTGCACACACTGCACGCAGTGTTCACAGAATAGCGCAGCATAGCGCAGCATGGCGCGGCATGGCGCAGCATGGCGCAGCATGGCGCAGCATAGCGCAGCATAGGCATAGCAGGCAGGCATAGCAGGCAGGCATAGCAGGCAGGCATAGCAGAGCATGTCGAACATGCAAGAACAAGATGTTTCCTCTTGGATTCTAGTTTTCTGCTGACATGGCGCGCACACGCACTGGCTCAAAGCACCAATTGGATTGGCCATTCCAAAAGCAGTTCAAGCACAACTGTAGCAACAACAGAAGAGTTGTCTATTGCAACCTGCTGCATGTCAGAGGGTCAGAAAGTGTCTAGGCAATGTGGTCAGCGTGTGGCTCTGAGTGGAGTGCTATGTTGCTTGAGTTGTGTTGATCAGTTCTTTGTGAGTCCTGAGGCTGGCATGGCTTCTTTCGCTGGCCGTACGGGAGCACAGTAAACCTTTCTTGACAGTCAAACGAGTGGAAACGAGTGGAGACCAAGTCTGGCTTTGACATCGAAGCGCACGATGCTGTGGGGCAGACATGCGCCACTCTAGCTGAAAATGAGCTTGGACTCCTGCTTCTTCGTTAGACTCCGTTAGAATCGTTAGAACTTGCCTTGAAGGCAAGTGCAATGGACCAGGAAGCCATCAAGTTGTAGCCTTGGGGACATTTGCCGGTTTGAACTTGGGTGATGAAGATCTGGAGCCGTGAAAGGCAGATTAAGAGAATGATGGGTGGTCAGGACGAGGGTGCAACTTTAGAGACACTGACTCTCTCTGACTCTGAGTCTGCAGGATGCATCCGATGTTGCTGGTTGGGGACACCAGGCCCTGGTGCGCAGGGGGTCCTTGTAATGACCACTTTGCAGTTTTGCTTCTTTTATCCGCTAGAACGCTCAATCCTGCAAGCATTCTGTTCGACCATTTCTGTTGGGGCGTGGGAACAAGTTTCAGGAAGGGGATGGTAATGTTTTCAGAAATCTAACCGCTAATGCGAGACCGCCTCGGCAAGCCGCCTCGGCAAGCCGCCTCGGCAAGCCGCCTCGGCAAGGGTAGAGCCTGGCCCCGGCCACCCCCGCTCCCCTCAGTTCAGCTCGGCCACCCCCAACGCCCTTCCATTGCGCTTCTGCACCTTCCCAACCCTTTAACCGAGCTTCATGCCCCTCAAAGCCCTCGCGAGTCACGGCCGATCACCCCAAAAAACACGGATCCAAACCGAATCGCGCCGCAGGGAGGGTGTGGCGGGGGTGGGCGCGCAGACGTTGACTCAAAGTTGCCTTCCATTCGCACTTTCATGGCGCAGGTGCATGACACCTATCCGGATACGGCAAGACTGCACTTTCAGGCTGGCAAGCTCTGAACACCATCGGTTTGCTCGTGGAGCATCCAGGTTCATGATGATGCTGTGGGAGGCTTCTGTGGCGAGAAGAGAGCTTCAAAGTGCCAGGCATCAAGCAGAGAAGGATTAAAGTGAAGAAGGCAGCACAATACGCAGGACAACATTTGCCTGCTCGAAGCCATCAAGCATTTCTACGGCAAGGCAAGGCTTCAGAATTCTGGTTGTAACCACGGCCACATGAGACTGCCAAGGCTTTTGTAGAGCAAAGTGTGTAAGGTACATCGACAAGGTAGATCTATAACTTCGGGAAAAGGCATTGGCTCGTTCTACAACGCCAGATTATTCGTTCAGGTATTGTCCGATGAAGGCAGAAGGCCTGTGAAGAACCCAAAGCAGCAATTGTCTGTGATGGCTTTCGCGATAGGATCGATTACCCTGCCATCGACTATAACAAGGTGGCTAAGGCCTCCTGGTTGAGTGTGATGGGCAGTGGCGCGTGTGCTCTTGGCCAGTGCCAGGGCATAAGGTTTTCTGATGCAGACTTTCTGAAAATGCTCATCAATCTCATTGGTGATGACGCTCAGAAGTGCTTTGACAGGTTTTCCGTATGTGCAGCTGATGTTCTACGCTCATATGGCTTATTTGCTCTGGGACTGTGTAAATTAAAGAGCGTAAGGTGACTTGCATCAGCTCCTGCCTGAGATGCCCATCTTTGCTGCTTGGGTTCCAGTGAAGATCTGCGTGTCTCTGACAGTTTTTGCTCATCACAAAAGCAGAATCCAAAAAGAGCCCAAAGGGAATGGATGCGGCCCGGTTCGCAGTGCTTCAGTGCTTCCATGCGGTAGTACTTCTGAGGCCTATGCACGTTGGATATGCTCAAGACGACAACGGCAGGAGCGTGAAAGTGAAGTTTCGAGGCAGGGCCCTAGCCGGCCTGGGAGCCGAACACTTGTCTTTTTTTTGTTTTAATCATCAATTTGTTCGCGCTTGGGCCCTGTTAGAGATCTGTGAGATCTGAGAGTTGGTGGGCTAGGGTCACCGTGTTGCTTGGCAGTCGCCTCGGCTCTTTCCTACGCCCTAAACCCTTTTTGAGAAGGTGCGGCCCCTTGAGAGGGCCTGCCACGTGCTCTGAGAAAGAAACCTTTTTTTTTCTAAGAAAGAGCACTCTCGAGTTTTGAGTCCGCTCAGTTTCTAAAAACACACACCGACTGTATTCAATTTGTTCAAAAAAGACTTTTAGCCTTTTTTTTTTGTTTGAAAAAGACTTTTAGATTCTTCCTTGGTTGTTTGAGTTTTTCTTTTTTGGCCCTCCTGCTGTGCCTGGCCTTCGCCTGTGCCTCTTCGTGCCTTTGGCCTTGCACTCCACCTTTCTCCTCACGTCGGCGTGAATTCCAACTTTTGCTTTTGCAGTTTACAACTCACCTCTGAGTTCCCACAGCTGCGAAACTTGTCATGACAAAGGCACGACCCTGACAACACTGGAAGAACAAGCACGAGCAACCTTCAGAATGCTAGATTTCAAGGGGGCCTTAGCAGCCAGTCGTTTCACGAGCTCAGCCGGGTGCCCGACCTGCCCTCCATCAACTTGTGTTCGAACAAGCTCAGGTCTAAAGCCAGCCCAAAAGGGACGTGGACCGCAAATTCTGGCGCACAGTTTCCAAGCAACACCGCCGTCTTTGATTTCTTTGATTTTGTGGCCACCGCAAATCTGATGGGCAGAAAGACAAGCTTGATTATACCGAAGATGCTTATGAAGCCTGGAAATGGTTTGAAACTGTGTCAAGCAAACTTGGGACTCAGTCCCTCCAACATGGCCGACCACCTCTGAAGGGAGATGATGCACTTTGGCTCGATGACTGCCCCATGCCCCTCGTGAGGCGAAAAACTGTCCACACACATTGCAACGGAAACAACCTGCTTGCTTGCCCAAGTTCACCTTGACTTCAGCGACTCCCTTCTGTATCGCCTCAGTTCTGAGCTGAGCACGTCCAAGCGTTTCACAACTGAGCTGCTCCCGACTAGCAAGCACTTGCTTCTTATATGCTTGTAGCAAGCTCTTAACTTTCTTTTTGGCCTTTCAAGGAACAAGGCATGTCCGCCAAACACCCACAGGCCCGTTGGAATTTATGCAAGTGATGGCTACCGGCAATCTGGCAAATCATGCGAAAGTCAAGCAACACAAGCGGTGACCACCATGTATCATGACCCCATGTGGCCATCAGGAATCCATCATCTTGTGTCAAAGCTGCCGTGAGGGCACGCACTCTTTCGACTGCCAGCCGCTCATGGGGACGAAGGATCCGCAAAACATCACACACTTCATCGTCAGTCAAGCTAACTGTGGACACATTAAGCAGCGGTCTGCAGTCACAGCGCCAGTGATACATGAACCCGCTCTGGAATTGCTGGAGTTTGATGGTACCGCAGCGTAGACGCATCCATCGCGCAAGCCTCAAGCAGCAGCAACCCTCCTAAGGCTTGCAGGAGGCACACTGCATCAACACACGGCAATCGCCCAACTGGTATCAAGAAACTTGCAGGCGGAAGAACAGGGAATTACACACCCTGTGGTGCAGGCACTGTTCGACAACTGGGCAGATACCAGCGACGTGGGAGTGATTGAAGCCGAGAAGCGGCAAGCGCTACGCAGCAGACACGATACAGGGAAGCAGCGCAAGTCCTCAAAGCCACCAGGAGAAAGGAGGAAAGAGGGGAGGAGGGCCAAACCGAACCAGAAGAAGATGAGTGACATGTGGAAGCAGCGAGGAGAAAAGCCGCTCACCAAAGGGGAGGCCAACCAGATGCAGACCTGGGGTCTTTCCACCAGATAGCTGCAACATCGCTGGAGAACCCGAGCACTTACTACGCAAGAGTACAACTGCTCCGACTAGGCCAGCTGTGGCAAGGCATCGCCGCAGAAGGCAGGGAGAAAATACTGGCCGCTGTCGTCGGCCAATTGGGGGAGCGAGAGCTCCGAGCACACGCCAGCCTCATCTCACAAGTATACACGAAGGGAATGTGAGCGTGCGACGACTGGTGCTGCTCGCTGTGGCAGGCCTCTCGGTCAGGATGGCAGGCAGGGTTTGCCGAGCGGCCTTCTTCTTCAGTTCCGAAGGTATTGGCGGTTCAGCGCTGGAATGTGTGCGCCCGGGCTGGGGGCGACGACCGCTTATCTTTTGTGACTGCTGGTCGTGCGGGTTGAGCTGATCAAGGTCGCAGTGTTGCGGTGGCTCCGGCGGCCCTGAGCGGCGACTTGGAGAGGCTGAAGGACATCTTCGAGTCAGACGACTGCTCCATTTTTCTTCAGTGTCCTGGTGTGGAAGAGCCAGATGTTCTTGAAGACTGGACTCTTTGTGAGTACATTTGCGCGTGCCACGAGAGGGTCAAGCAGACGTCACAGTTTGC